CGCGAAGAATGAAAAGGCTTTTTCGTGGTAGTCGGATTTGCAAAGTAAGTCGGAGAAAAAACGGTCGAACGAAAAGGTTTCTTACGAACGCTGCCTTAACGGTGAGAGATATATGATTATGTTCTAGAGAAAAGTTGTAGAGCTTAATAATGCCTACAAAAAAGTCAGCGACAGCATATGTCTAACTTTTATATTTAAGTCACAAAAAGTAGTTTTTTATATTAAAAAAATAATTTAAATCGGTAGGTCATGTTTATTGGTCATATTATCAACAATTATGAATTCTTATCAAAATAAGTAAATTTATCGTCTAAAATGTTTAAAACAAAAGACTTTTCCCTTTTACTGCATATAATTTGGACAAATGGTTAAAGAGATAATACAACATATTCGTAGGTATGGACGAACCCGAGCGAGCTGTTTATCTGTTTTCCTGTTTGTACGGGCTAATCTCCGAATCTATTGGACCGATTTAAATAAAATTTTGCATGGTGGTACCTTATATCCCCGTGCGACATCTTAGATACTTTTCATCCCGGAAAATTAAAGATTTCCCGTGGGATAGTTAAAAAACTATAACAACTTATACAGCTTAGTACACAAAAACTACTGATTGGATTTTAATGAAACTTTATAATAATATAGTTCATACATGACTAAAACAAATCAGCTACTTTTCATCCCGGAAAATTAAAGAGTTTCCGTGGGATAGCCAAAAAACTATAGTAAGCTTAGTACACAAAAACTACTGATTGGATTTTGATGAAACTTTACAATAATATATATAGTTCATACATCAGAATAAGAAATAGGTTACTTTTTATCCCGGAAAAATGTACTGTTCCCGTGGGATAGATGTTTTTGTTTATTTGTAACGTATTATGTACACAACATAAACCCCAAAACAATAGTTATTAAAAAGTTGTCTGTTTGTCTGTTTGCCTGTATGTCTGTTTGTCTGTTTTTGCGTGAGCGTTTCACGCGAAAAGTAATGTACCGATTTCAACGAAATTTGGTGATAACTTATTACTCGAGTCAACATTTAGGATACCTTTTGTATGTATTTACGTATGTATGTATGTATGTATTCAGCCCTTTTTAACGTCCCACTGCTGGGCACGGGCCTCCCTTCAGTACGAGGGGGATCAGGCCATAGTCCACCACGCTGGCCAAGTGCAGGTTGGCGGACTTCACATGTCTTTTGAAAACTTGCTGGGTTCTCTCAGGCATGCAGGTTTCCTCACGATGTTTTACTTCACCGTTAAGACAAGTGGTAATTGTGTTAGAAATGATTCGCACATGAAAATATCAGAGGTGCGAGACCCGGGATTTGAACTTGCTTCACTCGGTTTCCCAAGCGAGCGTGTTACCACTAGGATACCACTGCCTAGATACCTTTTACTTCAAGAAAATCTTTCTTTCCCACGGGAAAATACAATAACTGGTTTTATAGAGTCCTCCTTAGAAACCTTCCGCTGGCTAAGCCTTAAGACATACATACATTAAAACAATATACAAAAAAATTGTAGGTCTTGAAAAGTCCTACAGAAAAGTTCTGAATTGTATATGTCTATCTCCTAAGTTACACTCGCAATATTTATTCTTATCTATACGTATAATAAAACTAACTTAGTCAAATCGATGTGCGCGTTTCACGCAAAAAGTACTCAACCGATTTTAACTAAATTTTGTAGTGATAAAACTTAGTACTCGGGTCAACATTTAGGATACCTTTTACGACAGGCAAATTATTGATTACTCGAAAACACAATAACTGGTTCTATCGAATCGTCCTTAGAAATTTATATATTTTTTTTAACGTTGGGAAATGCATGTAAATTTATATGGCTAACGTTGGCTTAACTTAAGAGATAGATCAAAACATTGTGCAAGAAAATTGTAAGTCCTAAAAAGGTCTATAGAAAAGTTCTACATAGTATATGTCTTTCTCCTAAGGTACACTCGCTATAACTATTTTCATTATTATATATTACTGTTTTATTATACGTTATTTATTCTATTCTATCTATACATATAATAAAACTGTAGAGGTTATTTCTCTTCTGTTTGTCTGTTTGTACGGGCTAATCTCCGAAACTATTGAACCGGTTTAAATTAAATTTTGTATGGTAGTACCTTATATCCCCGGTCAACACCTAAGATACTTTTCATTCCAGAAAATTAAAGAGTTTCCGAAAACTATAGTAATTTATACAGCTTAGTACACAACAACGTACGCACCTAATTTCGTAAAATTTGGCATGCTGATACCTTATACTGCCGGTCAAATAACAGGTTACTTTTCATCCCGGAAAAATGAACGGTTCCCGTGGGATAGATCTGTTTGTGCTATTCTAGAGGTGAACCCGAGCGAAGCGAGGGTGAGCCGCTAGTCTTATATAATCATATTCACAGTTTTCTCCAGCTAAATCCTCAATATCGGATGTATTACACCTTCTTCTTCAGAACTCGATTCCGATTGGTTTTTAAACAAACATAGCTAGCGATTTCGTATTTTTTTTCTTCTATGGTTGTTCTTTCTTTGCTTTGATACTTTCTTTTAAAGACAATACTGCTGCTGCTTGTTTTGCACGTTTTCTTGCAGAGTTAAAAATTTCTAGGACTGGATTTAATAATGATTAATTAGTTAGGAAATGAAATTATAATTTTAGGCTTAAAAAACATGGCTATATCAACCAGACCTTTAGGATAAGATGGCCTATTTGAAGGTTAGAAAATCAACAAGACAACGAGCCACAAGATAAAAGTAAAATTAACATGAAAGCCATTATAAAATCACATTCACAACGTATGGAATATCGTTTATTAAAATTGTTTATGCCTTTTTATTTATTTTTCAGCACAACAAAGTGCAATCAATATGTGCGATCACCCACGAACGTCAAACGTATTCCTACTACTGATAAACAGCGCCAGCTATTAGCCAAAGATGGTTTTTTTTCAACTTGTTTTTTTAAACGACTGGCCATATCACCCTGAATTACTCTACCTAAAATAGATATAGTGATAACTTAATTTATCATAGATATACTAATTAACGAAATTCATCATAATAGCAAGAGATTAAAAGTTTTAATTTTTTTTAATAGTATTTGGAATAATATCACATGTAATGTAAATAATACACGCAGACTTATAATATTTGTATTACTAGTGACTGCCTCCCCAGGTGCCTTTTATAATTAAAATATTATTCTCATAATCCGCTACTTTTCGTTCCCAGAGGATGTACTGCCTAAAACTTTGAATTAGAAAAGACTTATTTTTAATTAGCATTGCCCGCGACTCCGCCCGCGTCCAGATGACCAAAAACCAAATTCTTAGGTTTTACATATTAGTATACTCTGACAATGCAATTTTTGTATTTTTTCTCAGAAATGAGATATTTTCCCGCGGTAAAAAGTATCCTATATGTTGACCCGGATAACCGACTATCATCATACCAAATTTCATCAAAATCTGTCCAGTGGTTTTCTCGTGATGCGATAACAGACAGACAGACAGACAGACAGACAAAAATTCTAAAAACTATAGAATCAGACTCTGTATCTATAATAATGTCTATCTCAATTAGATTTTCCAAAAAATATTTAATGTACAGAATCGACTTAGTTACAATTTTATTATATGTATAGATGAGAAAGATTTTCTTCAATTATGGTCACTTTAATTTTAAAAATAATGGTTTATTTTACAAACTGTCAAACCCTCTTATAGTACTTAAGTGGTTGAATTTACAAAAATCAACTCTTATCGGATATCTACTGCAAACACTTGCAATTTAGTTGCCAAATTTCAAGTTGCATTTAATTATTTGTTGGATTTTGTAATTAATCAGTGAGTGAGTGTATTTCGCTTTTATAAATATAGGAGGTAGAAGAGGATAGTTCTTACAGCTTATTCCCTTTTATGAAATTCGGCTAACTCTGCGAAAATCCTTTAAGCAAGTATTTTGTATGCAGTAAGTTTACGATTAGATTTATTATTAGATTAGTAAAGGTATAAAAAAAATATATACATATACAGTGCAACCTCGATATAAATATAATTTAGTAGCGACTCACCATCGCTTCGCTCGGGTTCGTCCCTAGGTACATTTTAATTTTTTATAAGCGGAACCCTAATTCTTTATTGAAATAAAAGTAGCTTAAGTTACTCCTTATAACAACAACTACTAGTGAAAGTCCCGTCAAAATCGGCCCAGCCTTTTGGGAGATTAAGCGGAACAAACAGACAGACAAAAATTTTTAAAATTGTGTTTTTCTTATAAATACCGTATACAATTCCATATGCATTTAGTAAAAAGCTGTTTTTTGACATTACAAACAGACACTTCAATTTTATTTGTCTGTATAGATAAAGTTGTTACACACAAGTGCAAACAGCGCTACAGTATAAAGTAGGTATGTACCTGAGAACAATGTTTCTATTTCAAAATATGCTTGTAGAAAAATTTACGAGCAATATTTTTTTATTAGAAATACTTTATTATGTTAAAGATAATTTAGAAACCGTTCGGGAAATAATATACAAATAAGATGTTGATGACAATGCAATTGAAGGAGGGTTCTTTAGTATCGGAGTTAGAAAAGTCACATATCAATAAAAAATAATGATTTGTGTTTTTGTGCAAATATTTAACAATTTTTAAATAGTTTCGGATTTTTTCCAGTAAATTGAAAATGTTTCTATAATAATAATGTTCTCCTGACCGATTACGGCCACGGCGGCCAATCTCATTGAGACTATAGAAAAGACTTGTGTTATGGATACCAGATAGTTGATACACTACACAAATATAACTTTAAATCCATACACATTATAAATATAAACACCCATGACTAGAGTACAAACGTTCGTGCTCATCACACAAAAGAATGTCTCCAGCGGGACTCGAACCCGCGACCGCTGGCACAGCAAGTAAGGTCCCTACAAACTGAGCCAAGCGTGTCGTCAAACTTGTATTTTTCCAACTGCGCATGAGATATTATAGTGCACAAGTGTACGCGCAGACACAAGTGCACTCTCTATTCCTGTCACTCTCATACTCCGGTGGGACGACTACTCGACACGACCGGTGAGAGTTAAGGCGCAGGACCGATGGCTTTACGTGCTCTCCGGGGCACGGGGGTGAAACACCGCCAACTTCCCAACTCCGGGCTGTTACTGAGGCTTACTATACAGAAACACACAATAACTAAACTTGCCACGACCCGAGACTCGAACCCAGGACCTCCGGATGATGAGGAGGACGGATGAACGCAGGACACCACTGAGGCAGTTGTGAATATGTTTTTAATGAGATCATGAGTTACAATATTTTACTATCAACATTTAATCCTACTTTACTTTAAGAACTAAAATAGAAAACTGTATCAAAGTCGAAGTAAGATACATCTATAGAAGTAGCTATAGACGCAGCTATTCTAAAACATGTACATAATATGTATATATACATATGTATATGTATGTCTCCGACTGAATAATACTATGTTCCTTCGTCAACTTGATTTCAAGACGAGAAAGCAGTTCGCTTTTTACTCAGTCAGGTTTTTTGTTTTTGCAAATTATTTTATTTTGATAATATTTAGAGATAATGCAATTAATATATGTAATGTTTACTTTAAATGTGAAAAGTTAGTTTTAAATGTATTTATATTTCATATTGTGCAATAAAATACACTTAGAAACGAATATAAGATAAATGAAACAATAAACCACATGATCCTTTAAGGAGTAAGTGTGTCACTCGTTATCCTGCTGTCGGTTACATGACACGAGCTTTAGATGTGTCTCTGATGGCTCGATTTTTATTATACGATATAGATTATAGGTACGTTAAATTATATTTAAGGAAAGGAAAAACACTAATAGAATCTATTAGTTCCCACGGGAACCGTTCATTTTTCCGGGATGAAAAGTAACCGATTTGTTGTTATCATGTATAAACTATAGTATTGTAAAGTTTTATTAAAATCCAATCATTAGTTTTTGTGTACTAAGCTGTATAAGTTATTATGGATTTTTTAATCCCACGGGAACTTTATAATTTTCCGGGATAAAAAGTATCTAAGATGTTGCCCGGGGATTAAGGTACCACCATGCAAAATTTCATTTAAATCGGTCCAATAGATTCGGAGATTAGCCCGTACAAACAGACAAACAGACAGAGAAACAAAAAAATTGAAAAAAAACTGGATTTGTTCTATTTGACTTCTTACATCCCCCTGACTCGGTTTTTAGCATTTTTTTGCTAGGTCTGTAACATTCGACCTCTACTGTTTTATTATAGTAATAGAAAATAAAAGGTCACGTTTCATATAACGTTAACTAAATTCAATTTTAATAAAAAAGTACATTACGTTTTACAAATATGTAAATAATTGAATAAAAATATTAACATATTAAAAAAACTAATATCATTATATAATGATTCCAATAATTACTTATTATACCAATATTTTTTTTGTGCTAAGAACACTTACTATGTATATCATAACTTATACATTGTAAATCAATTCAAATATAGTTTATCTAAAATAGATAAACTTAAATTTGCTATTTATATTTTATTTTGCTTCTGCGGGTCTTTTATTTATGTATGTAAGGGTCTAAGATCTATTTCGAAAAGTTGTTTCTTGAAAACCATAAAAGTTGTTTCCACTTGCTTAGGCCTTTCTCTTAACTAGAACAGATAGGGAACACATTTTATGTAATGACTTCTTTCTTTATTAGAAAAAACGATGAGCCTTTATTCCTTTCTTCCTGTGATGTAAAAGATCAGCTGTCAAAATAATCGAATTAACTCCGTTTTACTTATTTTATTGGAAAAAAACATTAGATGACAAACTTGTTATTTTAAACGGGTATTTTTTTTGTATACAATCATAAAGCAAAAACCTAACAATAACATCCCTGCAAACCAATTAAAACCAATAGTAATAGAATAATTAAATAAAGTTCACATTTTCATTTCAGGTGTGTCCATGTCCTCACGATGATGTACACGATACCAGTATTTATTATAGCACTGTCAGCCGCCCTCGCCGCGCCCGCCTTTGAAGCTGCATCAACAGGTGTCACCAATGACCAATATCCTTTCGAAACTGACAAAAACAATTTCTCAGAGGTAAATGTATTAAGGCCTGGTCTATTGTGTTTTATAAGAGTATATATTTACAATAAAGGAAATTACAAATGTACTACTGATATAATTACTGTATAAGTCATGTCTGCGTGGAATAGTGGCAAGAATGCTAGCCGCCTTCCCCCACTAAATGGCAATGCCGATTCTTTGGGCGGAAAACGAGCCAGCTGTCCTGTAGAGGCGATACGATGGGTTGTTATATCTTTTCAGAAGTGTTAACATATACATACGTATGTGTGTACGTCACAAACATATACTCAAATAATATAGACTTTCGCATTTATAATAATAGTAGTTCGAATAACAAATTTTATAAGGTTGTATCTTACATTAATTTGATAATAAAAAAAAAATAGCTGATGAAAACTAAGCCTAATATTTATAATTTTTTAAAGAGATAATAAATTACTCATTTTATCGCTTCACCCGATGTAAGAGGTGACTCGTTTTTCGTTCAAGGAATATGTATTACTAGTACAATTTAGCCGCAAAATGAAACAAGCGTCTTTGTCGCAATTTTTTTGCGAATATGGTGTGTTTGTTTGCGTGTATGAGTATAAGTATAGATTTATTTCAGTGCGTAATAAAATATGCATTACATGGTAGTCATCAGAAATTGTATTATCTTATATGAAATCTTACTAAGAGTAAAATGTTATATGTAAATTAGTCTACGAAGATTTAAAGTGTATAAACAGCCTAAGGTTAACATTACGTTTATTATGTTAAACTATCGTAAAGAGTTTAAGTGCCGGAGGCTTGCTTAGATGTCGAACTCACTGTTGTTTTTCTAACATTATATGTTACTTTATTGTCTAACCAAAAAGTTTTTATGATATATACTTAACCTACTTCCTTACCTTCTTACCTGAAAGAATTTTATATTACTTAAACAATAAAGTTACTTAAATAGCACGTGACTGACTTGCGCCGTCTAGATCGTGTAAAGTTTTTGTTATTTCCATGCTATTTAGTATAGAATGATAATATGAGATAATGTTCTCATTTAAGTAATTAAGACAAATTTTGTCAAAAGAAAGTGCTTGAAGCATGGTGATGGAAAAAATTGATGTTACGGGTTACCATTTTTAGTACAAATTACAAATATTTTTATCTTTTTTTTTTAACTTTATTGAAACAAATAATAAAAGTGAAAAATCCATTTTCGGGTTTTATCCTCTATCTGTACTAGAATATCTATTATAGGTGCTAACTATACAGTTCTTATTCAGTAATAATAAATAATATAATAAGGCAATGATAGCTCAATGGTAAATTTAAGAAACCGAGAGAGCGGTTTCAAATCCCGGGCCCTGCACCTCTGGTATTTTCATGTGCGAATTATTTTCAAGATGATTACTACTTGCCTAACGGTGAAGGAAAAAATTGTGAGGAAAGCTGCATATAGAGAACCTAGCAAGTTTTCGAAAGACATGTGAAGTTCGCCAACCCGCACTTGGCCAGTGTGGTAGATTATGGCCTGATCTAATGATCGTACTGAAGGGAGACTCACGCCCAGCAGTGGGGCGTTAAAAAAGTCTGAATACCATAGTAAATATGTAAGCAGTAAGCACATACCATTCCCATTTAGTTCCGTCACCCGAAACAACATTCATTACTCAGCTGTTTATTAGCTGTTATCTTTACATCAATTGAAGGCGTGTACCAGTTTTGTGTATTACTTTACTACGAATTACAATTCTTTCGAAACTCCTACCATTTTAGTGAAATGCCGAATTTGACTCAGTTAATGCGATATTTATAATTTTACAATAATTTATAACAACAAAATGTTTAAAACACTATTAAATAATTTTTTGAAAGTTTCTTTAAATATAGGATAGTTTTTTGAATGTTTTTAAATTCTTAATTTATCTTTATAAAATATAGTTATTATTCTATTCAAATAAAAACACAATGAAAAAATATAATATTATTATTACTTGCAGTATTTCTAGCAGAACCACTATGAAAATTATTATATATTTTATTATATATTTTAATGTATGAATTTATATAAGTACTACTCCTTAACCTTTCAAAGCACGCGGAGCCACAGGTGGTTCGGTTAACAATTAATTTCTTGGAATTTAACCGCGAAGTGTTATAGATATCTCACCAACGTAACATTCAAATATATATTTTGAATTTTGTTTAGTTTTTTTACAGGAAATAGCTGTTGTTATAACTTTTAAATTTTTATACCTTTTTTAATTTCAGGAAATATTCATGCCACAAAAGAGAGCAGCCCTGGTGTTGGATCGATTGCTGATTGCATTACAGAAAGCGCTTCACGAAGAAAGCGTGAATCAGCGCGTAGAAGCAGATCGCGACGGTCCCAGAATGGCGCCCTTGCGTCTGGGTAATTTTGAAGGAAATGATATGGTAAGTGCAAATTTAAATTTATTAAATATCACACCACTCGCGTGTTTTGTTGACAAATAATACCTTTTGTATAAGAATGACTAACAAATTAGTGGACATATACTATTTTTATTCGATCGATAGAATAAATAAGATAATCAATTAGTCTTCATTTTTGAAACGACTTCCAATAAAAACTTTTTAACAAAAAAATAAAAACCGACTTCAAACAAAAGCACTAAAAATCGGTGTGCTTTGCTTTGTATGGGCTGGCACCGATTTCGAAAATATTTGATTAGGTATGTATTTAATAGGTAGGCTTTAATTACTTAGCCAAAGCACACCGACTTCGAAAATATTTGATTAGGTATGTATAGTAAATGAAAACTACCAAACAGTTATTTTGTACTTTTTAGTGCTTTTGTTTGAAGTCGGTTTTTATTTTTTTGTTAAAAAGTTTTTATTTTTCCCTTTTTAGTGTAGATAGTAGTAGCAAAGTAAGGATTTTAACGTGTTAGGCTTGTCAAATCAAACAAAATAAGCCCAAACTCAAAGTATCTACTATTAGCCGTTGAAGAGTTCCACCTATCCACCTTCTGGCCTTGCCATCAAATCAGGTCAACAACACCGAACCACTGTACTATCAACGGAAATAGAAATACTTGCAAAGTTTCAAGTCAATATGACAATTAGAAGTAGGTTAAATTCATCATTAGTTGTTTTTCCACCCTTAGGGGTGGTATTTTTTTTTGAAATTTAAATGGGACCAATCTGGAAGTATACCCTTTCAAACGACACAAAAATTGTCCAAATCGGTTAATAAATGACGGAGTTCTGAGGTAACAAACATAAAAAAAAAAAAAAAAAAAAAAACATACAGTCGAATTGAGAACCTCCTCCTTTTTGAAGTCGGTTGAAAAGGAGTGATAATGATAATGATGATGTTCTCCTAGCCGATTCCGGCTACGGCGGCCAATCTCATTGAGACTAGCCAACTGCGTAGGAGATATTATAGCGCACAAGTGTGCGCGCAGACACAAGTGCACTCTCTATTCCTGTCACTCTCATACTTCTGTAGGACGACTGCTCGACACGACCAGTGAGAGTTAAGGCGCAGGACCGACGGCTTTACGTGCTCCCCGAGGCACGGGGGTGAAGCACCGCCAACTTCCCAACTCCGGGCTGTTACTGAGACTTACTATACAGAATGACTCAATAACTAAACTTGGCCCGACCCAGGATTCGAACCCAGGACCTCCGAGTGTGCAGCCGTACATGCTAGCTACTACACCACCGAGACAGTTAGAAAAAGGATTGCAAAAAGGAGTAGGTTCTATATTAGTCACTATGTATTTTTTTATGTATGTTCACCAATTACTCGGAATTGGCCTTTTTTATGTTGCCACTTTAAATTATATTTTTATATTATATATATACCTTTTTTATTATTCATCGATATTTATTGTTTTTCAGACTGGACTACAACGACGTGGCCAAGGATCCACCAGAGGCCGCGTACTCAGATGCTACTTTAACGCCATAACGTGCTTCTAATATAATATTACCTTTTATGGCTTTATTTAAACTTTTCAATAATTACTTTCAATGATTATTTAAATTAAAATTCTACGCGGCTGCAAAACTATTGCATTGTCTGTTAATCAATTGTTATAAAATGATAATTGGCATTGACTATTGTAACAACTTCGTATACAATAAAATTTTCTGATTTTTATTAACGATTTTGTTTGATCTAAGTAGGGAAATGTTTTATATATTCAGCACATTATTAGTTTTACTCAGAAAAGAGGAACGCTTTTAAAAAGCTCTTTATCGTTGTGCTTTTCATTTTCTCCAACATATTCACTTTTTAAAGAAGCTATTTTTTGTAATTTAAAGAACGGGCAAGTGCTAGTTAAATTCTTGCACAGAAGATTTCGCACTTTATTTTTGTTGTAATACATACGTTTAGTAATATTACGACTAAGTAAATAGGAGTAGTTTATGCAATAATAAGCAAAAATTGTATGTAAGAGGAATAAATACTAATAATTACATATGGAACTCTTTGCTTACTAACTTATTATTTTTCATTATAAATATATGCCTATTTTATATTATTAATAATGATTATTATTATTATTGTCGATTATGAAATTGACGTAGTAATCTTACTGCCTTCACTTTTGGGATTCCGTAAAGGCAAAATAGAAATTTCATCATATCCTTACACATATCACAGTCACTTTATTGGCTCTATAGAACCAAGCTAAGTTTAATGTAGATGTCTTTTATGTACCACAAGCGACTTGCTCTCGCTTCGCTTAGATACGGTGGGGTGCTCGGGACGTCTCTAGCCTTTTTATTTATAACTACAACTGACCGTCGCTTCGCTCGGGTACGTTTTAAATAGGTAAAAATAGTTGTTGTAAGCGTACCTAATGCGTAATGCAGCTAGCATTCTTGCCACTATTATACGCGGACATGACTTGTGCAGAATAAATTAAGTGTACATTTGTTTTGTATAGTATATGTATTATTTAGAATATTTGTAGTTTGTAGCGTACCTTAGAAAATAGACACATGCTATTACGGACTTTTTTGTTATTTTTAAGGCCTACAATTTTCTAGTACATTCTTTTGATGTCTATCTATCTATCAATTCAGCCTTTTTTACATCCCACTGCTGGGCACGGGCCTTCCTTCAATAACGAGGGGGATTAGGCCATAGTCCACCACCCTGGCCCAGTGCGAATTGGTGGACTTCTCATGTCTTTCGATAACTTGTTAGATTCTGTCACGGTTAGGTCTCATGATGTTTTCCTTCACCGTAAGGAAAGTGGTAATCATGTTAGAAGTGCGAGACCCGGGATTTGAAGCCGTTTCACTCGGTTTCCTAAGCAAGCACGTTACCACTGGGCTCAGGACCGGCCTTAGCTCTCTGGGCGCCCCGGGCGAGTCATGCCTTTGGCGCCCTTTTAGGTATACTTATTTCATTACAATTAAAAAAACGCGTATGTAGAATTATTTAGTGAGAGATACGATACAACGCTGAGTCTAGTTTCCCTTTAGATCGATAAAAATAAGTATTCAAATTAAATGGTTAAGTTGAGCTGGCGCGCGTGGCGCCCTGTATAACTTGGCGCCCCGGGCAGCCGCTCCGGTCGCCGCCCCCCTAAAGCCGGCACTGACTGGACTACCGCTGCTTTCTAAAGAAGATTTTTTTGTTTTGATCTACATATCTTTAAAGGTTTAGCAGATGTTATGTAATTGTACGAAAACAGTTTTCTATGAGAAAACGCCGCCTAGGCAGATTCGTTTTCTATAACATATTTACAAATTATAAGTATATGTTGTCGTCCGATTGTATTATTAGCCAGATCATGAAATTCCTCGGCACATGATGAAACTCCGCCATTTCATGATTTGGCCGGGCAACACCCGCCAAACATCGCTCAACACTTATCACTTATAGATATTATACATCACTTATACATATATATTATCTATACATCATCCTTTCTCTGACACCATGTTCAACTTTATGAATTTCGGTAAAAATATATATATTAGCTAGATATTCTTTTACTGCGACTATACGAATCGTGTGATCATCCACAGACTTCTTTTTGAATATTAAAAAATCTTTTTCTCCAGTATTCTTACATCATATTTTAAGTTCCAGTAATAGCCCGGGAGTCCTGTTGCCTGGACACCCTACTTTTCTTAATGCTTAAACTAAACTTCTTAATTTCCATAACCCAAACATATGAAATAATTCAGTATTTTAATAAATAAATCATAACCAACATATAGAATTAAGAAATTAAACGATACCATTACAAAATTATTATATTTCACTAAAGATAAATAACTACTTGAGTACATTGACCAAATCATGAAATAGCGGCGTTTCATGATTTGCCGAGGAATTTTATGATCTGTGCAATTAAACGATAGAAAGCCGACATATACAATCTTTCTCGTTTACCACTCTATGATTGAAAACCGTATCAAAATCCGTTGTCTTTTAAAAGAAGTAAGTTGAGAAACAGGCAAAAACAAACAGCGTATGTATATTGTTAATGTATGTTGATATAGATCAACGACTGGTGCCAGAACAATATTTTGTATTTTTCCATAAAAATGAGAGAATTGACGGCACTACATTTTTAAATATGTTAATTTTTGTGTACACACAACTATTTCAATGAACTATCATTGAAATTTTTGTATGAAACTAATAAATGGAATCGTGTTTTCCCTCGGAAATGAAAGATTTTTCTGTAGTAAAAGGTATCCTAATGTTGAAACCGAGCTATTGCTAGACTGCACTACTACACTAAAATCTGTTCAGTAGTTTTTGCATGAAATTGAAGACTTAAAAATATTATCTAAAGCACACACCCATTAACATGAGTGAATCTAAACGAATTCTACTATTAAGATTCATTAGATAGATATAAGGTACTCAATGTTTATAGATAACTAGCGGTTTATCCTCGCTTCGCTCGGGTGCGCCCCGAGGTAAATGGTTTAAAATCGTATAGAACCAATATACAATGAAAAATTGATTTGGCCTAGCCCCTTTGCGGATTTACGCAGCAAGTTCACCAAAGTTTTATCATAATCAGATGAATGGCTTAGAAAGGTATAGTGAACAAACAAAGAAACATTGATTTTTATTTATATACTTAGATAACAATTGCTGTAAAATTGAAAAAAATGACGTTGGCCGATTCAAATTCTACTGATTATGTTATATTTACTATACTAGTACATTTAGCAGTAGACTGCCTCGGTGGTGTAGTGGCTAGCATGTACGGCTGCACACCCTGGTTCGAGTCCCGGGTCGGGCCAAGTTTAGCTATTGTGTCTTTCTGTATAGTAAGCCTCTCAGTAACAGCCCGGAGTTGGGAAGTTGGCGGTGTTTCACCCCCGTGCCTCGGAGAGCATGTAAAGCCGTTGGTCCTGCGCCTTAACTCTCACTGGTCGTGTCGAGTGGTCGTCCCACCGGAGTATGAGAGTGACAGGAATAGAGAGTGCACCTGTGTCTGCGCGTACACTTGAGCACTGTAATATCTCCTGCGCAGTTGGCTAGTCTCAATGAGATTGGCCGCCGTAGCCGATTCAGAACATCATCATCATCACATTTTAGGTAGCTTTATTTTAAATTTGATCAATAACCCACACCATATACGGTTAATTGCAATTAAAAACTTACACTGCAAACAAAAGCTGGAACTAAATAAATAAGCAATAAAACTTTTAATTTATTAATTTGGTTAAGCAAATTCATTATTTTTGTTTTGCTTATACTGTATTCGAAACATTGTGTACAAAATAATACACGAGTATATATTACCAGTGAAAACATCAATCAAACTTCCATTAATATAATTATTCGGTGGCTTTCGTACTTATGTTATGTTAGGGTTTGTTTATTTTAAAATAATTTGCTCGCTTTTGTATAATCTGATAAGCTTCTACATAATGATGCTTCATCTATTTATCTTATGCCATTAGATGGGACAATAATATAAATTAAAATATTATTTAAAGAATCAAAAATAAAAAAATAGTTTTAACTATTGTTTATGATAGTCTCAGTTATTGAAGTAGTAATAGTAATGTACCTTTATTTCATAATGAAAAATCCTGAAAGATTACCAATACTCATATAACATAAAGCAAACCTAAACACTTTTTTAGACTAAGCCGTAGCTCGAACCTAGAAGCTCATAAACAGTAGCCGTATAAGTTACCCACTAAACTCGACGAACAAAGCAGTACATATGATGTTTTCCTGACGGTCAATCTCACTGAGACTAGGCAGCCTTGGAGAAATTATAGCGCAGCGCGTGTACGCGCAGACACCAAGTGTCTCTCTATTCCTGTCACTCTCATATTCCGGTGGGACGACAATTCGACATGATCAGAGAGGGATTAGGCGCAGAACCGATGGCTTTACGTACTCTCTGAAGTACGGGGGTGTAACACCCCCAACTCTGAACTCTTGACTGCTGTTGAGAACATCTTAAGAAAAACTCAATAACTAAACATGGATGGACTCGGACCCAGAACCTCCGAATCTGCAGTCGTACATGTTATCCACTCCCACCCCAGATCAACTAGTCTCTAGTATCAAATTAATAATTATAAACGCATTGTGTGGTATATCTGATTGAAAGTGCCTATTAGTATAGATTATAGTATAGGTACATGTACTTCTTGTGGGCGTTTGCAATTGTTGTTTAGATGTTTCTTACTGCCTAGTTAAAACTAGGTATTTTCTTATACTATATACAAGATTATATACAAGAGAGAGTTAATCTAAGAAAGTATTAAAGTGAGAGTCATTGTGTTTTTATTATGTCTATTGATAAGGAAAATTGATGAAATGAGAAAAATATTTAATTTGAATCAATACTCGGTACAGCTTTAATTCAGTTAATGTATGTTAAATGTTATTTACACTTAAATAACTTTGAAATAGTGTAACATTAGCCACAATTATATTAAAATAATTATAATTCCAATTATATCGACAT